ATCGTAGGATAATGTGTGTCATTCCCTCGTTTTTTAATCAAGTGGTTACTAGCTAGCTCTTTTGTTATTACAGCTGCCTCGAGATCTTTTCTAGGGCACTAATGCATTAGTACTAGAACACTAGAACTGTAATTCTAGAACTTCAGATTAAGATTACTTGACTGAATGGCAGGGTTCGAGATTCGACTCTAAAACTCTCAGTTTAGGAGTGATTAGTAGATGCATGATGTGCGAAAACTCCAACTAGACAAGGATCATGCTTAATCAAAGTGTTCCTTGACTTGAACTTAAGTCTCGTAAGTCCAAACTGGAGTTTGGGCCACTGAATCGAATACAACCTGATATTAATTTTAGGATTTCGGGAAATTCATTCAGATTTTTATTCTTTGGTTTTTCAATTGTGCTACGAATCCGAGTTTGAGTTGATAACACCGAATTTCCTGTTTGACTCTCAAAGAGAGGAACCAAGGCGTAGGTTCCTCTTTTTGGCTCTGAGACCCAACTTTAACATCGGACTTCGGAGATCATTGCGTCGGAGATCATGTAAGTGTAACATCAGTACCGGAGATCAGACTTTTTTGCTTGATATTGGACCTATAAATCTAATGATATATTCGAAACAGTACGGGATTTAACCAAGGTTAATTTAGATAAGATATACCAGCTTTCGGGGTTACAAGACCCCACGAAATGCAGGCAGAGCATCCTAAATCCTCATGCTATCCTCACGTTGACCATCTAGGTCCATACCCCAGCCCCTCATTAAAAAACAGCTACTAGGCCCGATATCCGTCCCTTATCCCGTAGTACTAGTGCCCCGTAAGTAAGAGATCGTTCAGATTTTGGTCATTTAGACCCCCTCCCCGCTCTAAAATCCACTTTACCCAAAGCTGGAAAAATGTCACATGTGAAACCTAAATAGCTAAATCAGCATCTCGAGACCTTCTATTATATAAACCCCGTGATCCTACTATAATCTTATAACTTATAAGGCATTGCATGCCGAAATTAAGATCCACCTCAACTGGTGATATGAACCTGGTATGTTACCTGAATGCCCTCAGTCAAATCTCGAACCCTGCTAATGCTATTCTGCCAAGTAACCTTAATATGAGGTTCTAGAATTACAGTTCTAATGTTCTTAGTTAGTGCCCATGCCCCAGATAAGATCTCGAGGCAGCTGTAATAACAGAAGAACTAGCCAGTCACCACTAGATTTAAAAACGAGGGAATGACACGCATTATCATACAATGGGAAAATCTATGCGACAAAAAAAAGAATATGGGGTCATTCTGAAGTGAGAACCAAACCACTGCGGTATTATAGGAAATTAACTCAATTAAACTGCGGCCAACAGATCTCAATCCAGGGATTACAGATCAATATTGGTCGAGGCACTTAAAGTGGGGTACTGGTCAGCTGTCAAGCAACAATCTGGCCCGGATCCAGTGCCGATTTATTTTAGGTGCGCTATTCTTGGTACATATATCATGGTTTCATGGCATGAATATAAATAAAAAGTTTGAAGTTGAATTTTGGTCAACACATTTTATTTAAATTGGTGCCAAGGAAAAATTGTTGGGGTTGTCACAAATCATAAAATCATGTAGTAGTTATTTACTAATAACTCCTAAAGTGAGCGTTTTTGAGTATATGATGTACATGAGTCGGCAATTGCGAACAATTTGTTGTCAGCAACCGATCCTTTGACCTTAAAAAACCGTAATTTTGAAAAATTGCCCTTTCGTAAGACACAAATATGCTGCTGTCCTGGCCCATTAAAGCATTAAGAGAGATGCCCAATAAAGTAGATCATTCTCCAATTTTTGTAGGTATTTCTGGACACAAAGTGAGTCATCTTACATCTTGTGACAAATGCTATGTTCCTCATGAATCTTCTTTAAGACCTTTTTAGTTAACAGTCCAATAGCCCATTTGTGAATACTGTCATTGTTCGCTCGGCAAAAATTCGTTTTTCAGCCACATTTCCGAAAGTAAGCCTTTTAGGGTATATGTTGCTTCATAAGTTGTATATAAATGTGGCCATTATGTACATTTTAGTATATCAAAATAGTCTCTACGACCTTCCTAGGCGGAAATGCCAAAAATCACGGAAATTATGAACTGCGTCAAGCCAAAAACCGTTTTTCGGCCATAATTCCGAAACGAAGCATTTTAAGGTATATGTTGCTTCATAAGTTGTATATAAATGTGGCTATTAGGCACATTTTGGTGTATCGGAATAGTCTTTAAAACCTTCCTGGGCTGAAATACAAAAATTCGAGTGACCGCGAAATCCTGAAAAAGGGTGTGGCCGAAAACGCCCTCATTGCATTTATTTCAAAAATGCAATGAAGTCCAAATGTTTTAAGAATCATCTAGAGAGGTGATAACCGTTGAGAAATCGCTTTTAACACGAAAAGCTAACGAGATAGCCTTTTAGAACGGTTGGGATCCGACTAAGCCTATTATAAGAGCCCAGATTTCCACTCAAATACTGGCAAGTGCATAATGCTATAGGACCTTTTAAAAATAAAATTGAACCATACAAACTCGATTTATCTATTTTTCTAAAACTAGCATTATATAACATTTCTAAATTATCCCTACACACTTGTAAATAATTAGAATTGTGTAACTTAAATTATTTCAGAATTACAACTATTGTGTACTCAATAAAGTAATTATCACTTTTGTATCCTTGTATCCTTGTATCCTTGTATCCTTGTATCCTAGCACACTCCTCATTATATCCATTATATCCATGCTCAGGCGTGTCGTGATGTTACACATCACCTGGCTGTAGTCCTCCTTGGTCTTGGTGGCTATCAACACAGAAGAGGCCCAATTTATCGGGGACGGGGTCGGGGTACCCAGTATATTATATTACTATGGTACATCTCTCGCCTCTCAATCAGCCTGTTAAGCGTTCTAAATAACTTATTGGCACATTAAGTTAAAGAATATGTCGTATCGTGATGCAAAGCAGCTCGATATGTACTCTCAAATATATGTACACTAAAAGTTTAAGAGAAAAGAAGAGGCCCAATATATCGGGGACAGGGTACCCAGTGTAATTAAGCACGCTGTAGAGTTTAGACTTTGCTATATTTACAGTACACTACAATCTAGGTGTACCAAAGGGTACTATGGATACGTTTAGTGACGAAGGCTGTAAACTGTTCACAGCTCTGATAATGTAATATAAGAATTTGCAAGACTGTTTTTAAAAGTGGCGATTACGTTTACGTCATTATTAATGATGAAAATATGATTTGATCGAGGAATGTCTACAGAGTACGCGAGCAGTTTGTCAACAGACTAGTGGACCTTATATAATAATTATAGCCAGAAAGAGGAAAGAGAGACCTTGTGATGTGGAAAGGCATGTGAGGACGAGGATATTGTTGCAAACAAATCTTATTGCTTTTAACGTGGATACAGAGGAAAGAAGATGGACGACAAAAAAGAGACTTTGGACCCCTTTATCAGAAGTTTCTTGATACATGTTACGTATCACAAATATCAGAGATATTGTATTATTAAAAACTCACCCTTACCGGATGAAATACGTCATTGTATTGTTCTCTGCCAATTGCAACACTTGATTCTCAATTGTGCTCTGCCAATAGCATCACTTGATTTAAAAGAATGTATATTGTATATATATTTTTCAAATGACCTTTGTCTGACCAGACGTTATGTCACAGCTAATATAATATATAATATATAAAAGCAGCGTATTTTGCCCCATTTTGAGCACTATATCAACTCCGATATCCACCAAATTTTTCGGACAGTTGTGAAAGCCCTATTGGAAGGTCGTCGCCAATTTTCAGAATGATCTCATTAAAGGAACTGAAGATATCTTCGAATAATACGACATAATCAACGAATTTGGTCAAATTACGCGACTTTTACCATTTACAGCTAATTTTGCTCCAAAAGCCGCGCACCATCAAATATGGCACCTAGGCGAAACTCATAAATTTTTCCAAAAAGGTATAACAAATTTGGTATTGTGAAAATTCTCACAGTTTCTAGAAAACAGTGGTACAAAAATTTTTTAAATCCGAGCAAATTTATTTTTATCGTGCACCCCCTACTGTTATTTTTACTTCGCGAGATTGTTGCTTTGTTGTAGCGCGATGCGTTACTGTGCTGCGCAGCGCACTTAATAAGGCTTCTCACTGGCTAGATCGGCGAAATGCGCTACTGTGCCGCGCCGAGCTGCCATGAATTGACATCGTCAATTAAGTTGCTTTGTTAAATATTCGCAGATATCAGCAACGATCTGGAAGGGTTGACATCGTCAATTAACATGTGCACTTCATTTCGAGAAGAAAGCTCGGCGCGCGCTACTTTGACATTGGACGGATGTTACTAGTCTTAATTTCTTCGAAGTAGCGCGCGCCGCTTTCTTCTCGAAATGCTTGCTACGAAGTAGCGCGCGCCGGGCCAAATCATTAACAATGGTCATGCGCTACTTCGAAGAAATTTAGACGAGTAACATCCGTCAAGTGATATTTGTAAAATATATGCAACATATAAGTAATTCGAGATCGTCGATCACATGGCCGGTTCAACAATCAACTAGACGCGCGTCTTGGCAAGTTATAAACGTAAAAGCCTTTTGCAGGCGAATTTCATTTAACGCAGGCGAATTTCATTTAACGAATGTTAATACTTGGAGGACTTCGCCGCTTAGACGCGCAAACTATCATTCTTGCTTCGCTTCGCATCGTCGAGCTAGCAACGATCTCGATGGGTTGAAATCGTCAATCAAGTTGATACTTGATTGACGATGTCAATCCTTCGCAGCTCGGCCCAGTTTTTGGATGCGCGTCGCGACCCAGTTAACCATGTCACATGTGCTTTCGCGCCACAGTAAGCGCAAGGGCTCTGGTAAGATGTAAGAGCAAGTTGGTATTGGTTAGTCCATAATTGATTGTTGTCAGATAAAAATGGTTTGTTAAAAAAAGAAATAAAACACCGCACATCGGATGCTAACTCAACTGATCTTGGTTTGTAACTGGAACAACACATTTTAATAAGTAATTTAAATACTACGCAAATTATTAATCGAACTTCAAAACACAACACAGCTTACCAAGACTAAATTAATCGAATAATAAAACTAGCAAACTTAAATTAAATAATGTCTTAATTAGTGCGGTGGTGCGTTTGGAGTTGCTCAAGCCAATTTTAAAAGAACATCATGAGATTTGGCTAAAACTATCATGGTTAAACTCAAAACTGCTGCCCGCGTGGTACTTCCCGATGTTCTTAGAGATATTAATAAGGTGAACAAAGTCACGTGACAAAGTTAATGTCATGGTGACACCAAAACTCTGAACACGTGATCTATTGTGTAACAATTGAGATTAATCCACAAAAATTAAGCTGTCTGCTCGATGACGACTACAGTTGATTATGATGCCATCATTATGTATCATAATACGATGAATGTTAATAATTTAATTTTACAACACAGTTTTAAAATCTAAACATTTCAAAATAATTTAATTTGATGCTAAATCTAAATTAAAATAATAAGTTCCATAGCATTCATGGAGAAATGTACATTGAGGTCAAATATTAAGTAAAATTTAAAAATTTGCAGAAGTTAATTTTGGGATAAATTAACGTTTAAAATACTAAAATCGAAGCTTAAATTTAAAGGAAGTTTTCAAATGTTTACAGCCACAAAAAAAAACAATCATATTCATTCTAACCGAAAATTAAAACATTGTTAGTCAAAAAGAGTTAACAACTCGACTTGAAAATTAAAATTAAAATTTGGCAGGTCGTTTGCACACAATTGAAATGGGACATTTACAATTCTAAAATCTACATATATCTCCGCGCACGATAACGTAGCCACGTTTCGGGTATAATCTTAATCAAGGATTTAAGTTAAACATTAAGTAATTAATAAATATTATCCAACTGTTAATCGTTAAATAAAATAAATTTTAAATCAAATAAATAAACATTCTCAACATTATTACGTCCGAGCTGTTTCATCATTTGATTTCCGTCTCTAACAGTCTAATAATCGAATTCTCACTAAGTTAATCAAATTAATTAACTAATCAACTAATCAAGTAACTAATTAAGTCAACTAATCTAACACACCCCTAATGATATCTATTAATCCCGCCTGGATCAGGAGCTAATTAGAATAGGGCTATCACAAGGACTTTGTCTCCGCAAACCACTCGCTCCATTTAACGGGCTCTCTGGCTCAGGAATCGGCTCGAAGTCGAAGGTGAAGTAGGGCATGTTGATGGATTTACTGGAAAATGGTTCTTGAGGACTCTCTGGTCCGTACTCGGGAGTGTCTTCAGATGCAGAGCGAGGTAGCGGCTGTTTCTCTGCTTTGTCCACTCTGGGGGATGTCGGGGTGAGAGACTGGGGTGGGGGGAGGGAGTGAAAGACTGGAGTGGGGGGAGGGAGGGGTGAGAGACTGGGGTGGGGGGAGGGAGGGGTGAGAGACTGGGGTGGGGGGAGGGAGGGGTGAGAGACTGGGGTGGGGGAGGGAGGGATGAGAGACTGGGGTGGTGAGGGGTGAGAGACTGGGGTGGGGGGAGGGAGGGGTGAGAGACTGGGGTGGGGGGAGGGAGGGGTGAGAGACTGGGGTGGTGAGGGGTGAGAGACTGGGTTAAGGGATGTCGGGGTGAGAGACTGGGGTGGGGGGAGGGAGGGGTGAAAGACTGTGGGCCGGGGAGGGGGGGGGGGGGGAACTTCCACAGATCCAGACTTAAGCACTAAGCAGTAATACAAAAAAGCGGATAGTTGATAAAAATATAAAGATATAACAAAAGATGTACCCACCTTCCCAAATCTAGGGAGAAAGAAGATTTGGTGAGACTAGACGGAGTTTTCAGGAATTGGTCCGGACTGGCCTCTTCTCCGACAGTGGCGGCGTGTTTTGGCGGGTGTTTCGGTGGTGAGTGCTTTGGCGGCGAGTGCGGAATGTAGTTGACGTCAGAAGAGAAGTCTACTGCTGTAGTCCGCTTGAAAAGCTTACCTGAAAAGTAATTCATCCTGTTAATTAATTCCGCCGAGTTACCCTGGCTTACATAGCTCCATTTATCCGCAAATGCAAATTTTTTGTGGCCTTCTATTTGACGACAGTTGCTTGGCCAAACTTGGGGCCGTGATGTCAGAAAAACCGACTTTAGGTTTGGCATGTATCCATCAGATAACCAATAAAAAAGAAATGATACCCACGTTTGGAACTCTTTTCCATCAGCTGAGACAGCTGCAGTAAAGAGGGAGGTTTAGGACTGTCGGGAGAAGGTATTTCCAAGTGATCTGGTAAAGGTATTTTAGGTATTTTGAGAGTTTCAAGGTTTCAGTACTTTTAAAGTTTCAATAATTTTTAATGGTTACAAGCTAATTATAGGTAATTACAATTAATTATTTACCAGCGCTGAGTAGAGGAGATATGTAGGTAGGTAGTGAGGTTGAAGCGATGTCCAGGGCGTGTGAAGTGTAGGAGGGTTTGTAGAACGACATCCTCCGTGGTACTCCTTGCCCGTACAGAGCTGGTTTTTTAATCGGTTAATTGGTTAATTGGTTATTAGGGAGTTGATAGATTGCTGGATGTTGAAGTGTTTTTAATTTGAGAGTTTTTTGTGTTTGTGATACGAGACAAGTAAAAAATCAAACAAGAAACACAAGATTATGAATAGAAGATCACCTAAATATCATTTAAACAGACTTAACAAATTACGTAATTGATCTACAAATTACGTAATTGATTGATAAAGTACTGGATTACCTTCAGGAGGACCCTCGTGAGAGAAGGACGCCTGTCGGAGACCCTTATATCTGTTCTTGTTACGTATTGACACTTCGTGCCTCAACAAGGCCCGGTGTATAAACTCGTACTGTTCCAACGTCTGTACCATCCCTCCTCTAAATAAATAAATAGATAAATAAATTAATAACATTTAAATAGATCAGAAACACGTTAAATAGGTATTTCTTCCCGCAGTTATAATAAGAGATGATACTAAGGAGCTTATAATGCTCGGAGCACGAGGCAACCCTCCACAGTAGAAGATAAAATCAAATAATTGGTTATTTATTTTATAACTTAATCAAGTATTTAAAGTAAGTATCAACTAACTAGTAAATAACTTAATCAATGTTTAATGAACAGATACAGTAGGAATCAGTAAGTTGGATGACCGACCTGTCGAGTCTCATGCTGGCAACTATCTTGAGGACATCAACAACTCTGTCGTGTTTGATCGCTTGTATACCTATATCAACCGCTATAAAACATCCCGTACGACCTAAACCTGGACAAACACAGAAGTGATTAGAGTGAAATAAATAGTATAATTAAACACTAATTACCATAAAGGATAACTCGTGTAATTGATCTAGTGGGTCTGAACTCTCTAACCATTACCCAAAGAATCACTTTTCATACCTGAACCCGTTACTCGGGAGATTTGCTGAACGAGACGGACAAATATTCGTAAGACGTGTGTAACTGAATCAGTTAATAACTAAGCCAATGTTTTCACGAAACAGAGGTCGAAATTAGTCAAAAATCTTTCTCAAATGCCACTTATTGAAATAAGCACTGAAATCACCGACTCAAGCAATATCAATGAAACAAATCTCAAAGTCCATCTTATGGAAATTTTGTCTCCTTACTCAACTGTAATTCCTCAAAATACCAGAGCCTCCATATTCACTGCCACCGTTCACTTAATATTCAACCAAACACCCCACAGTATATTCAATTTCAAGAAAGGCGCTCAATTGTGTGTGCATTTATTTCCTTCGCTGTTCCGAAGAGCGAAATAGCTTCACCGAAGATATGCGTCAACGTAATTCAAATGCACGAAACTTAAACAATTTTACTATCAATTTGGTGAGAACCTCGCGAATTAGTCATAATTAAGATTTAAGGATACCCCCGGCCCTGACTTCAAGGAAAGATGAATGTTTTCATTAATTTCTGTACAATTATGACGGTCCATGATGATGGATCTATAATTTAATTTTAATCATGTGTGTAATCCTGTGTAATCCGATTGAGGGGGTAGGGGGGGGGGGGGGGTCGCTAACCTGCACTGCAGTGAACGACGAGAGGAGAACTGCCGACCTGCCATATCCCATGAACACAAGACAGGACAGCTAAAAGGGTTCTGGAGCTGTCTGGAACACCCTGGTCCGGCCACGACCACATCCACAGGTGACAGAGTCTGTGTACCTCCTGTCAGTGAAGAGGGGTTAGTTACTGAGGGAAGGGGCCGGAGAGGGGTTAGTGACGGAGAGGGAGGGGTTGGCAACTGAAGGGAGGGGCCGGGGAGGGGTTAGTTACAGAGGGGGAGGGGTTGGAAATTACTGAGGGGAGGGGCCGGGGGACTTAATAGGGATATGGTAGTAGAGAAACTTTACAGTGGTATTGAGAACACCGAAACAAAGAAACAAAAAAAAGAAAAGAAAAAAGAACACTCACCAATCCGTCAGTGATAAGCATGGAGGTGACAGTGAACCCCTCGTACTCAGTGCTGTCTCTAACAGTTACAGTGTAGCTTCCGTAAGTACCTACTGACTCAGGCCAGTAAATGGAACATTTGTTTCGCCCCTTTTCCTGAAGAGTATGAGGTTTTTGAAAAACAAAAAAGACTACTGAAAATTGTTTCATTGAGACGGGAAAAAGTTAATCAAAATGATTAGTTACCGTGTAATTACCAAATGGATACTTTGCATAAAATCCCCGAACAATAATCTCGTCTTACTTGCAGTTTTGTAATCATTACGATTGTGTTAACGTTTTCTTGCCACACTAATCTCCAGAAGTCGTTAACTGTGTTCTTCAGGGGGCCTTGAGTTCCGATGTACACTCTCGGCAAACCTTTGTATCCCTATAAATTAAATAATAAATAAATAACATAATATAAATTAAATAATAAATAAATAACATCAAGTTAAGACTTGGTATCTAATTCATTGTAATATAACTCGAGATGAGTTATTTGCAAGTATTTCACAATGAAAAATGTTGTTTGTAGTTGGAATGCTTAGGATTTTAAACGAAATTTAATCTTTAATTTCTTATTCGATATTTCCATATTATGTCCCTAACTATATCTTTTTTGGGTATATTTTTAATGTCGATTGTCGAAGCGTCACAATAAATGTTAGAATTTATTTATTTATTATACCTTGAGGTAGTTAGCGTTGATGTAATCCTCTGGTATTTCAGCAGTTTTTAACTTGACCCTCGTATGTATATCTGAAAAGTTTTTAAACATGTCGCTTGATTCATCATTGGTTTTATTTAAAAAAAATCTCCCTTGATGAAATTTCGAATCTATCAGTGTGTTTTGATGCTATTAAATGTTCGATGGTCTTATGCCATATATTGCAATCCTATCTCAAGACACAAAAGTCAAGCCCAATGGATTTGGCAGCACGCCAAAATTTGGTTTTTTAGTTCATGCATTGTGGAGCACATCACACAATATGGTCCAGTGTCCACATACTTGGCCTAATGCGATCAGTTTGTAAGGGTTCACAAATCTCCTAACGTTTCATGAGTCAAGAAATAATTTTCCACGTGTAACACATTAGGGCGTGGCACTTTGAGCATGACCATTAATGAACCAGAGTTTAAATCGATTATAAAGCCCAATAGGAGCGTATGTGCCGAGTGGAAAGTATCGGCTGGGATCTGCTGTTATTTGTGTGGACTGGTCACTGGACTAATATATCATACACTTTACAGAACTGTCTACATCTTCATAATATATATAATGGTTTCCTGGCAGAAGGTATAAAGCTACCTAATTGCAACAATGTTTTGGGTGTGGTCACGCGCGCTGCTATTTATCGCGCGCCATCACCTTGAGATAGGGTACTTTATCAACAAAAACATAATTCGCGCGCGCTCATTTTTTCGTAAAATAGACAAATGTGTCCCAAACAAAGGTTATAAATAATCGAGAACGTAATTTTGATATTATTATATATCCGTCGAGTACGAGAACATTAAAATGAGTTGCAAAAACTGCGTTAGAATCAATATAGTAATATATATAATACTCCACACTTACTAGGGAGGACTCCTTTATATCTGTTCTTCATCGAACTTTTCTTCACGGTTCTGGTCTCTTCGTTTGTTGGCATAGACTGAAATAATACATCGCATCACAATACAATCGAAGTAAAGTAAGAAAAGTAAGAAAAGTTTTAAAAAAGTAAGAAAAAGTAAAGTAACATAAAATCTTGGGAAAGAGGTGACATAAAATGGTAACGGTTGCGGAAAAATGTAACGCCAAGGGATAATTCAGGTATAACGTAGAAGGGAGGGGGTTTGGAAATGCTTACTGTAATGTTAATTACACAATAGTGTTTTTTATGGGAAACATTGAATTGCAAGGAAATTTAAAACTTTCTGGATGTGGAGTCTGCAAAGTTAATAATCTGGCTAACATAATATCAAGTTTTAATACTTTCAACACTACTATATAACAAATAATTTGAGCATGAATACGAAGTTGTTACTTTGAAACGTCGTTCATCCTAACAGTGCAGTATCATTTGTTGCAAAAAATCAGAATAATCAGAAAGTATTTGGAACTCCCAAAAACTGTCTATAATATCAAGTGAACGATAATTATTCACACAAAACGGTGGCTGTTACAAAGGCAAACATGGAGTTGTAGGGTGAGTTATGTGCCTCGCCGGGCTAAAGTAGTGGATGTCCTTGCTGTACGGCAAGTTAAACAAGGAACTGAAACTACTAGGTTCCGTACAGACTCAACTCTGCACCCATGCCCATATGTTCATTATATGCAAGCCTCTTGATTTATAATCACAACTCAGAGTTGAACTAACCGAGAATTCAGCGTAAAGAAGGGCAGGGTTATCCAATCTTTGTCGTAGCTGTAGCGGCGTCAGCGGGTTAGTTCTGGATTGTAACGCCTCCTTTATACTGAAATAGAGGTGACTCGTTAGTTACAGTAGAAAATAGTAGTTACACTATTTAGTACTAAAGCTATCTTAAGCAAGGGAAGGGAACCTTATTTATTAGCCTGGAGGGGGATTTGTTTAAAACATAGAAGTGATACGAAAAGTTGTTTTAGCAGGAGCTTTCAAAATACATATTGAGTAAATCGTCTTCAGCTTATTTGTTAGGACGCCTGCCAGCGCCTGACAGTGATTTTAGGTTTTCTTTGGTAAATACTGAAAGCTGATTGGTTAACCAGCTGACAAGTTTCATAAAAATCTAGATATATAGCTACTAGTTGCTAACTATTAGCTATAGACCAACATTTCATTTTCTGTACGTGTTTTACCAGTTATTAGTTACTTTTTACCGGCCCATCCCGCATACAATTCCCTCTTCTTCACTTCACACTTCACACTTCACACTTCACACTTCACTACTAATCAGAACGTGCCACAAAACAACCAATCAAAGCACAGTATTCACACCATGTGACAGCCATTACTTCTTCCAACCAATCAGAGCACAGTATTCACACCACGCGACATGAAACAGTTCATTGTGTTCACTTCACCAGCTGTTCCGACCTAGTTCATAACAGTGTGAAATGCACAAAAAGGTTTGACTAGTTACTTCCCCGCCAAACTTCACTGCTATCTTTCTTAAGAGTCACGTGATACTGAGATAGTTAGTCACGTGATAGTAGCAGGATGGTGCGAAGAGCCAGAATATGAGTTAAACTTTATCTTAATTAACAGACATTTTTATATAATTGTTGTAAACTGGATCATATAAGATATATAACGATTTAAAAATCAATATAAATATATTTAACCATCTAATATATATATTTAACCAGCAATTATTCAACTATATAACAGGTATTTAAGAAATATCTGCATATTCAGACACACCCTTATTGAATCCACAATATGTGGATACTGGCGAGGCGGTAAATTTCTCAATGCCCATTAATGACAATGTCAGTATTGCACAAATTTGTAATACTGAGATTAAAGTGGTCGTTACATCCACCACCGTGCATGTACATAACATTAATGATAATAATATTGTGCACTAGGAATTTACAGTGTATACGGTAAACAATACAACTATGTACATTATGGAGTCTGCAGACTATAAATATGCGTGTAACATACATAATACCCAGTTAAGTTATGTGTAATGTTGCAGTACCTTGTTGTATTTAACTTTGTTTATGGTCCGTTTCACTCTTTTTTTTTTTTTTTTTTTTTTTTTTAAAGAGAGGCTGGGCCTGGTTGGCCCACGAGAGGATAGCATATGGATGCTTTGCCTACCTCTGGGGTATGGCAGTCCTGTGGGAGGATGCCAGTGGAATCAAGATGTGTAATCACGGATGATGGTGAGTGTTGTGGGGTGTGTTATAGATAAACGGTTAAGTGGTGGTTGAGTGTGGAAGAGAGGGGCGAAACAAGACGGCGTTAAAGTAGTCGCTATGTTACACCTGTCTGGTCCAACTCCTCCGGCACCACTAAGCGTTTAGTGTGGTTCGTAAAGTTGACAATGGTGGAGATGTGTTGGTTGTCGAATATGTCATTGACAGAGAGGTAGTAGTCCCGGAAATATTGACCTCTTATTTGGGCAATAGCCGGGCACTGTCCGAGAAAGTAACTCTGTTATGTTTATGCCCTACATTTTGTACCTTGTATTAGTAGTGGGCATTGGTTTGGTTGTACGCTATTTCAGTTGTTTTAGTTTCTATAAAGTTATAGCTAACGTCTCACATTTTTACTTTTTACTTACGGGTATATGGCCCCCAGAATATAGGTGGCCCCCAAAATATAGGTCATGTTAGTGGATACATTTCTAACCAAGATAAGCGATACTAATGGGATCTGTTACTGCTAGGTTGGAGTAAAACATGTAACTTATGTTTCTGGATAAAAATTTTGGACCTACATGAGGTATTTTGGTATATTTGGTCATGACAGCGAAAGATTTAAACGATGTTGTCATTTTCTAGAGGGGTAAATATGGCGAAAAATTGTCATGACAAAAATCTGTCCAACACATGCCATTAAGACTACTGGTATGAGTATAAGTATTATTTTAAGCTATCTTTTCATCGAGACATCTGCAAACTGACAATTTGGAAAAAAGTTATGGCCACCACAATTTTACGGGCCCCCAGAATATAGGTCTATACGACCCCCAGAATATAGGTTGGTCAAAAACCCTGAACATGCCCAAAACCATGCTTTGGGATGCTCTACTTGTAGCTACTAGTCTCCTGAACCCACATATCAAGTTTTATCAAAATTGGATAAAAATTGGCCGAGTTATGGGATAAAAACAAAAACCATATGCCCATATTTGGGCATACGCACCGAATTTGATCGATTTTGGTCCATAAATTGGTCAAATATCAATATTGTTGAATGAAACCAACTTTATATGGAAGGTAAGCATATATTACACATTCTCTATGATTATCAGCTCAATATCTACCTAACTGTGGATTCTGTGTTCAAATAATCGCAAAAAATGAACAAAATCGCCCATATCTCAAACTGACTTCGCTCAAAACAATAGAACTCAATAGGGTTTCAATATTTTCACATGAAATTTTCAGAATCAACGTAGAATTGTCTCATGACCTTAAGTTTTGGGACAGAATTTTGAGTTAGGCCTTTAAAAAAATTTGGCGGCCAAAAATGTCTGATTTACAGTCATTGAGGTGCACATTGTATTGATACAGATAAAAACAGCCCCCCTCAATCATATCTAGGGACACTCCTTCAATCTTATTTAAGTATTTAGTTAAGACCCCTACTAAATGAGTGCATGAAAGCTTTTAAACAAGTAAAATTAAAGATTTTACTCATCACGGGTATATGGCCCCCAGAATATAGGTTTTTAAAAAAAAATAGCGACCAAGATTCTGCATTTTCTCTGTCACCCTGAGCATTAAGGAATGTGGGGTAGTGATAAGAAACAGTTAAAGAACATATGCTGAAGAGATGGCATCATCAAAATGTATGAAGGTGGAGTATTTGAGGACGATTTTTGCATACCTATATTCTGGGGGCCGTAGTTTTTGATTTTTTGCTATTAAGTATACTCTTAACCATTTCAATTTAGTATCTGGAGCCATTGGCATCATCAATACAGTCTCAGCAACATATTCTGACTGCATATAACTGTCTGTGACAATTTTAGAACAACTTAGGAACAGATGTTTGGACCTATATTCTGGGGGCCCTGTTAAAAAATGGTATTTTTACAGGTGAAAAAAAAAAGTACACTTAAAAACCTAATAATTATTTTCAACTACCCAAGAAACATTTAAAGGGTTATGATGTACATATTTACAGCCCTAAACATGCTTAGAAGTAGTTTTAACACCTGTTTCTAAGTGCTCAAAAAACGACCTATATTCTGGGGGCCATATACCCGTAACTTTAAATTATTTTTATTAGGAAAAAGCTTGAGGGAAAATGACAGTTGCATGCATAAAACTAGTTTAAGTCACCAATGCACAATCTGAAGTTTGTGAACCTCAACTAAGCCTTTCACTTGTTATAACTTTATACAAGTGATAATATACCATGTATATTGTATAACGGTATTGTACCGTATTCTGTTTTGGAATTTAAATGGTCACCATTTTTGGAATAAATGACAGTTTTTAAATATAGTACAATGGATTATATTATCACGATTAGTTTTTTATATATTCTATAAATTTTATACTATATATTTAAAGTATAAAGTAAAATAAAGATAATATAAGAACAAGATATTATCAGATATCAAAGAGGTCGGTGTAACTACAAGTAAAGACTGCAAGTAAAACTACTAAGTAAACTGTAATCAAAAGTAAAGTTCCTGTATGGATAGCTTCCTACACTGAACTTCATACTTGTATCGTTATGCACAATATTATTAGGTAATATTATTGGATAACTCTAACTCTAACTAAATATTGAACTTAGGTTAATTGATTACTACTCGGGCCTGCTAGTACATATCAGTACTGCAAGGATAATGTAATAAGTCACATATTACACATATTTACATGTTATCACCCACATCCAGACACATATTGCAGTTCTGGGAGGAAATTGATTTCGGAGGGAATTTTTGGTGCCAAAGAGGAAATTTGTATCTGGGAAGAAAACTTTATGGACGTGGGTATTATCAGTGAACACTATCCTATTCTCTGAACAGCAGAGACCAGAGTAGTGACTTGGTAGTCAGTAGTTTAAGGTTTTTTAAATTTTTATGATTTTTTGTCTAGTAGTATGTTAATATTGTAGTTGATATATAGTTAATATTGTTGTTAATATAGTTAATATTTTTAATAATACAACTCTAATAATAATATATATATATATATTTCATGGCTGGACTTCTACACAATAAAAGAAAGCGGTTGTGATTAGATCTTCGAAAGTCTTTGCATCGTTTATTTACATCAATTCTGAGAAATTATATCATTAAAGTAACTACAACAAATACGAATCATATACAATTGAGAATAAATACAAACTAAAAGCAGTGGGAAAATCTGATGAACTGAAATTTTAAAAAGAAACTGAAAGCCGTTAAAAATGTACTCTTATCTTATCTCTTATCTAAATACTGATAACTGATTCTCGGAAAATCACTTAAAATCACAACAAAAACCTGTAAAATTTATACTTAAGTAAAAAATGTAATATGCACGTCTCTGGAATAATGGTATAACTAAATAAAATCTACAAAATATACTAAAACTAAAACTAAGCTCCGGCAGATTTAAAAAGTAGATGGTTACTATCAAGGGTGTTCATACCCCCAAACCGTTCAAGGGTTTTCAATTGGGTCTGGTAGAACCCCTCTCTAGCTTCCATAGCCTTTTCTTTGTCTGCTTTACTAATATTAGGCTCAAATACTAAAGCGTCTACTATAATGACAGAAAGGTGCTTACTAAGTGAGGAATTATAGCAGGCTATGGTACT